AGATGGCATGAACAAAAGAAAATAACAGCCACAAATTCATGGATCTGCAAGGGACTCACCAAACACCCAACCTGGAGCCCACCAGTTGTGTCCTGGTGTGCATGCTGGAGAAGGCTCAGATATGCCACTTTTAACTCAAAATCACAGTGACAACTTCCTTTCTTTAAGAACAAGTAATGAGCGGCTGCAAGATGGTTGCTTGCGTGCTACAAGGCCATCCAACCTCACCTCGCCATATCATTACGCAACAGCTGGGCTTACCAGTTTGATGCTTTCGGGCACATCATCATTGCCACTATATTTTCCTTTTCTTTTTTCTTGGTTGGGGAGGAGAGCAACATCTCATTGAGCTGTAAGGATAATTTAACGAAAAACATCACAAAGAAACAAGGTAAATTGCAACTAACCTCCTTCAAGAACGAAGACATAAGAGAAATTTTTCTAGTTTTTGGAGTATTAGGAGAAAGAATTGAAGAAGGAAGAAAGTAAAAAAGGAAAAAAATAGTGAGGAAATAGGCAATAAAAAAGGGCGTTGCCGTGTTAAAAATTTAGAAAACTTTTGTTGTAAATGTACATGTATAAAAAAAATCAACAAACACTAGAAAAGATTTTCAAAAGTATATAGTGATTCATAATTATTACAGTGGCAAAGGGCCTAAACACAATTTTCTAAAAAAAACAGTAAACATAAAATCATAATTATAATGATGGTATAACCAAAGAAAAATAGCAACGTAAGAAAAATGCGTACAAAGAGAATTTAATGTTGTCTAGAAAAGAAGAAAAGTTTAATGAGATGAGATGAGTTGTCACCATATTATTGGATGATGTGAGTAATTATAAAGATGGGATTAAATGAGATGAGATGAGTTGGATGATGTGACTCATTTCTTGTGTTTGATTTATTTTTAAAAGTAAGGAAGGAGATGAGATGAGATGAGTTGTCACCATATTTTATTGGATGATGTGGATGATTTTTAAGGATGGAAATGGATGAAAAGAATATTTTAATGATTTCCTAGGTCAATTTCCTTTTCTTTGATTTTAGGAAACCAACCAAACGGACTCTGAGAGGAAGAAAATGCTCGCCCACCTGCATAAAGTAAGTAAACATACTAGTTATGCTCCTGAACGAAAAACTTATGATTCTTTAAAAAAGATAGTCAAAAGAAGAGGCGCATGCATGTAATAAATTCTTCTTTAATCATGTCATTACCTTTTCTGAAGAAACAATTGTATGTCGTCTATCACTCTATTGTTAATACTATTTTTATTAAAATGAATATTTAATGTGAGCAGTTGCTTACTCAGAATTTTGTTTACAACTCCAACTTACTAAATATACAAGTAAATTATATATGTTGGATATGGAAAAATATGTGTAACACATCAACTTATGTGCATATAAATAATACTTGGTATAGAACATGCATTAACTGGCAATATTAGACCATCTACATTTGTTAGAGATCTAAGGGAGTAAGTCACCTGACACCAGAATAAATTTGGTGGCATGTATCCATGGATCTGCAAGGGGTTATCAATGTTGTCAATGCACGAGGCGCAATGCGGGGCGCAAAGTATCTTTACGCGCACATGCGCAAGGCACAACGCGATGTGCGCACCCGAATGATGTGAAGCACACACAGCACACATAATTTTTGAAGATATATAATCAAGCATGATAGAACATTTTAGGAATTCACATAAAAATATGTCAGGATATATATTATCATACTATCAAATCACAATATAAGGTCTTAATTTTAATTCTAACACATCAAACATAGTAGCAAAGTTCATAATTTTTCAAATCAAATGTCAAATCAAGACTAATATCCAAGCAAAATCAAATAGCAAATGAAGATCAGTCAAGGTCCTCAATTGAAGGCTACTAAAAGGCCTAATGGATTTGTTTTGCTTTTTGAGATACATGTTATTAAGTATAAAGACTCAATTGAAATATTAATGAACAAAAATATACAAGGCTATG